AAAGATATATACTGTTACAAACTTAGAGCTACTTAGGATAAATGAATGCAGTTTCATGTTACAATTTGAAGTCATTCCAGAAAGAAAAAAAGGATAATTTAGGTTTATTTCAATTTTTTTGGTAGTTACAAGATCGGTCGAGATGATCAATCCTGTTTTGAGATAGGGTAGAGAAAATAACAGATAAACTATAAAGTTTTACTTAAAAAAAGGTTTGAAATGCATTTAAGAGATTTTAGGGATTACACAAAGTAAATTTGAGATTTTTGAGATGACGAAACATTTTTAATTTTAACATGACAATTATTTTGCACGCTGATTATTCAAAATAAATACTGAAGATATTCATGGACAAATCTTTATTTATTTTATTAAAATATTTCACTAAAAAATTTAATTTTTTGTATGTGAAAGACTTGTAATATTACCTGAAAGACTGCCAAATTTTGTGAAGATATACACACTGTATTGAAAGTTAGAAGTATTAAATCTATAAAGACTTTAAATGAGTACAAAGATATCACAAGGTCGATCAAATTGACCAAGCCCGTGTTAACAGAGTTAATCAATGTTAGTAAAGGATTTGTTTGTTTGTGAATTTCGTGCAAAGCTACACGAGGGCTATCTGCGCTAACTGTCCCTAATTTAGCAGTGTAAGACTAGAGGGATGGCAGCTAGTAATCACCACCCACCGCCAACTCTTGGGCTATTCTTTTACCAACGAATAGTGGGATTGACCATCACATTATAACGTTCCCACGGCTGAAAGGGCGAGAATGTTTGGTGTGACGGGGCGTTAGTAAAGGAAATGTTGCACATTAGCTACATTAATCAAGGCTTGCAAATTGAAGGCACATCATATTTATTTGAAAATACTAACCTTAGTTCAAGACTAATTAATTTGGGTACTATTTTCTTCCTTGTAAGTAATTTGGATGCCCTTCTAGAAAATGAAGCGCTTTGATTCTAGATTTTGCATCTGCCATATGACCAGTACATAACCATAAAAGACAAATTATCAGTTGAAAATTAAAATTATGCATAAAAGACACTTCTCACTTAAATACAAGATCTTTAAGAATATAAAAACATATATTAACCCCAGATGTTCTCTGAATGGCATTTTACTAACTAGCAAAAGTTTAGTACAAATTAAGCAAACACATATCATTCGGAAATTATATTTAAATACAATAAAATGTGAGTAGCCAAAACCAATGCGTAAAGAGAAACAAAAGTTTCTGACCACCCTGGGTTATGTTTCAGGCCCCTAAATTTTCACTGAGACTTGAAAGATTTTTTAAACCAAAATTCCACCCTTTTTTTTAAGCCAAAACCAAGAGTCACAAATTTATACACTTTCCTCACATTTACCTGGATCTTTAAGGAATTTGACCAGGTAATCTTAGTTTGAACTTGATTAACCCTATAAGTAATTTTAAATTCCTTTCTGCATATGGTACTGCATTCCATTCCAAGTTTAATTAAACCACTTTACTAATTTGAATTTTATGTTATCTAAGTTTGAATTCCTTTGTCTCAAAGGAACTGTTAACAAAAAATACTTAAAATGCAGTTTCTTGTCACATGATCCATGCAAAATCTTCAACTTAGCAGGAGCTGACTTTAAACACATAAGCTTGCCATGTACATGAATATCTAGACAATGTACATCTACGTGCCCTTTGATACGCAAGACAAAGTCTTACAACTGTATTCACTGGGAAAGAGAAATAAATTTTCCAACCCTTGACAGTTGCCATGCCCACCTTCTATACTTTGCCGTGAGATCTACAACGTATATGTAGTTAGTTGACACAGGTGCATATAGCCACTAGTAACAGCTCAGTTTACACTATATTCAACCAACAGTTACCAGTTGACGTGTCAGCATAAATAATTAAAGACAAAGAATTGGAAAGAAAAATTTTAAATAACCTATAAGTGAAAAGATAAAGACATGAAATCATGCATATTAAAAAAATAAGTTTTAAAAAATTTCTACGAAGAGCTAACAGATATGAACATATTTCCATGTCATTGCACTGTACATTGATGATAATAAGTAGAGTTAGTGATTTAGTAGAAAAAATGGAAAATAAAATACAAACATTTACATTAAAAAAGTTTTGATATTCATTTAGGAGGTTCTAGAGATTATCCAAATGAAATGTGAAAACTGTAATATAATAAATAGTATTTGTATAGTTCATATAAAAATCATTTTGCTTTGCAGGTGAACTATTCAGAGTTTGAAGGCAAATAATTACATTAAATAAAAAATTTTTTATCAAAAATAGTAGAAAAAAATCAAAATTAAATATTTTATTTACCCGAAACCATATAGTTTTAGGAACATTCTTGTCAAATTTTAAACAATTTCATCCACTAGTTTTATTTTTGGAATGAAATACTTAATGAGTAAGCAGACAGTTGGCAAAAGGTTAAGGAAATCAAAGACATTACAAGCATTTAAATGCTTAAGATAAATATATACAAGTTCCAAAAGCACTATGTATAGTAGGCATTATTGAGAACAATGGATATTTACATTCTGATGCAGTTAGCATATTCAATTTAGAACAAAAAAATATATAACATTAATAATAAACCTTGGTTTTGCTTTGAAGGAGTGAAATATTAACTTTTATTATCCACTAGCTGAAATGCATTAAAAAAAACGTATGGAGAAAGAAAACGAACTAAGATTATAATACACAAATACACTGAGATCAACTAGTCTATACTAAGCTATTCACCTTTACAGTTTCTAAATCCATGGGATGCTTTATAACATCATGATAGTCCTTTAATCCAGGAAACACTGAACTTACAGGTTTGTAGAAGGGCCAGGCATATTCCTTTAAAACAATACTTAACACATTAAATTTATAAAAGTGAAATAAAACTCTTGGTAATATATGATTAAAATTAACATTTCTAAATTCATGAATTTTAAAGACAGTCTTTTCATGACAGTCATAACAATAAATTCAACTGCATTAATAAAAATTATATTAGTTCACTAATCATGCTGAAAACACAAAACTGGACCAGTTACAAATAACATATTCAGATATTTGTAGTTTCATCAGTCATTATAAACTAAAATTTTTCTAAATTTCTCCACACTCATAACTCAAGTTTATACTGAGTAAATACAAAGCTCTTTGCCATAGCTAAACAAAACTTCATATAATCAAGATATGCCGATAAGACTTATGAGTTTGCAAATACCTCATGCTTTTTGACAAAGAGATCCTTCAAAACATTGTGACAATATTTCATCTGTTCTGATTGTTTCCCTTTCTTTGGCTTGGTATGTGACTGTGAAATGAGAAGAAACACATGTTCTTATTTTCAAATCAGTACATTAATTATTAAATTCAAAAGAAATGTAAGACAATGTAACATTGCTAAAAACCAATGGTAACTTACATGAGCCTGGCCACCTGAAAGATCTTTTGATGTTTTTTTAATTGGACGTCCACCTTCTTTTCTTGTTGAGATCTTTGAAGTTTTTATATCCATAGGAGGTTGAGGCTGATGGGTGGGTAAATTATAAACATGACTGGTCACTAATGGTGCAGTGTTCATTGGGGTTGTGGTATCTGCTTTTCTTTTTACACCTTTTTTAACCTAAAATATATTAAGGTAACTCTACTTAATAAAAATATGAGAAAAAAAAGAAATCCCTACCCCAGATTTCCTACATCTTTCAAGAACCTTCTTTTAGAAAAGTGCAATCATTATAAAAACAGAGAGTAAAGCAATCTTACATTCCAATACATGCACAACACACTGATGAAGCTAACTGAAAAAATAACTACTCTTTCCACAAGTTCTCTGTCTATTTTAGCTTTAACACCATAATTTTGTGTGTGTGCATATATGTCCCTTCATAACTGATATATGACAAGGTAAATAACTACACTTTTCCTTATCCATAAAAGTTGCAATTCTGCAAAAGAATTTTCTGTCAGATTTAACAAACCATGTGACTGAGATATATGAAAATACAGAATTTCTAAAACATTTAAAAATTAACATAGTTGCGTGATTCTAAATTTGTGTGCATATTCTTGATTGGTTGTGTTCAGATAAAGATCACATTAAATAATTAGAATTTTTTTTTTTTTTTACTTTATGTAAATCTTGATTTTCTCGTGGATTTTCTAGGCAATAATGATTCAGAACTGAATTTCAGTGCTTAACATGCAGATGTTAAAATGGCAAATCAAATACAGGATGTGGCCAAATAACATATCTATGGAAAATCTTTCTCTTATGAGGTGCAGTTATCCTTTAATATACATGAGGCTTAAATGCTTTGAAGGTCAGTTTATCAGTTGTCACACAATATTAAAATTCCTAAAAGTAAACAGTGGTAAAGTTCATTGCAAGAATTTATCAGACCAAAACATATTGTTTGTCATTTACTTGTTTTATGATAATTAATTCTACTAAATTCCTACATTATTACAAGGATAAATAAATAATAAAATATGTGAACTTGAAACTCATTTTATTCATTACCATGAATCTTTAATAAAAAAATTGCGTGAAAATAGCATTTCAAATATTTCCTTGGACTACCACAAATCAATGTTCCATAAGCCTTTACATACTAAATTTTAAGTGCTTTCTAAATAGGACAAATGGCAGTGAAAAACAGATCCCACAATATTCTTTTTATAACCCTCTGACTTGAAACCCATCATTGAATAACAATGAATGTAATAATCATCTGCAATGAAACCTACATTTCATTATACTTATTAAACCTAAATATACACAGTTTGCATTTGAGGTGATCAAATCAGTACTTTTCTAGACATTGGAATTAAAGGAAGGCAAAAAGTTCAAGTTAAATAGTAAATCTTTCTAACTACATAAACATTAATAGGGGGAAGTTTTTTATGTGTGTGTGACTGATGAAGCCCCCTTTACATGTTTTTACCATATTAGTTGTAGTTTTGTATTTATATAACCAAGACTATTATTTATTCCAGATCTCTAATAAATAAAAAATATTATCAGAAAAAGTTATGACAAGTATAAAAAAATTTTCAGTTTCAGATTTATTCAAAATTAAATATTTTTCATTACTTTCAAGTCTGTAAAACTAAAAATTCTACCTTTGATGGTGTTGCAACAGAAGTTGCAACTGTGTGATGATTAACTTTGCTTGGTAATGGAGAAACCATGCCGTCTGGTGAAACTGGCAAAGATGCTACAGAAGCAATTGTCTCATCTATAGTCCCTCGGCAACTGCTCTGAGTTGTTTTAATTTTTGATGTCACCATTTGTTCTTGGATTGTTACTGAAAGGGTTGTGGGAATGTTGATACTACCTGGAATGGTAGATGGTGCCACTGTTGATTTTGGGGGTTTCTGTGGCTTTGAATGATCATGAAAGTGGACGGAAGGCTGAGTGTTTGGCACACTGGTGATAGGTACAGTAACCATAGAAGATGTCCGAGTCTGATTTGTTGTCAAGGGTAATACACTTGTAGCTGTTGTGACAGTTGTAGATGTAGGAACTAAAAAACATCACATACCACAATTATTGATCATTGTTTTTGATCTTTGTTCAGTTTCACATAAAGCTATACAAGGGCTATCTGAAACTAGCTATCTCTAGTTTTGAAAATTATAGACTAGAAAAAAGGCAGATAATCAACACCACTCACTGCCAACTCTTTGTCAGACTGATTAACTATAAAGGATAAAGGTCAAAGTGCATGTCATAACTTTTTACATAGTTACATTCAAAATTTAATTAAAAATCTTTATTATCAATTATGTCAATAAAATTAGCAAATCTAGTTTATAATTCAAATTTTGATATTATATAAGCTTTAATTTCTTAATTTAAAAA